GGGTTGAAAACTTTTTTCCAGAATCTAGTGTGGGGCGGTGCGGGTTGTGGGTTCCTCTCTTCACATTTAAAACTAACTTAGTAACTCTGTTGGGAATTGCTGATGAGATTAAATCTGAACATATCTGTTGCAATGTTTAGTAGTAATGAATGTAATTAGCTTCTATTGTAAATACTTAGCTAAGGTGAGCTAATGTGGCAGTTAGTTGGAAGATTCCGGAAATTAATTAGAAGCAATTAGGAAGTTAGTTGTTGTTAGGAAGTTAGTTACATGGGCGGGAAAGAGAAGGCATCAAATCTAGCTGGATATATAGATATCATTGTACACATTTAGATCTCATTCATGAAAATAACACTCTTCTTCTTCTCTTAACTGTTCTTCTCTTAGCTAACATCTCGGTTGATACCCTGATCTAGCCTAACTGTTCTTCGAAATTCTTCATTTCCTAGAGTTGTTCACACTCGATTGCACTGTGTGCATCAATATCTGGATCTTATCTAGGAAGAAAAATTGGATCTGGAGGTTATCTCAGATTTCAATGCTAATTTGGAATTTAGGATAAGCTTCAAACATTTTCATTCAAAAAAATCAATCAGAAAGCCATTAAAATTCATTATTTGCCAGTGATGTTAGGAATCTTGATTTCCAATTAAATGTTTCCATCTTTGTGAATAAGTTTAATATTTACCAAGTTGGTGAGATTAGAATTTAGAAGGATAGATTTGATTTTTTTTCCTTTTTAAGTCTAAATACTAGTAGAGTGAAAATAAATTAAGTTTGGATACAGGATTACTATGTCCCCTTCTACATTGCGTATGTAATAAAAAAGAAGCGATAAACAAAGATAGTGAAATATTTTTAAGATGATGTGGTATATGGGTTTGTGTATACAAAAGAAAATAATTCGTTAACTCATACAAGTTGTATAAGTTAAATATAAACTAATTGATCTTTTGGAGATTTTTATATTTCTAATTTAGATTGCATAGTGTAAAAATAACACATATACTCTATTCAAACATAAAAAGTAAGAAAACAAATATTTATTGCAATATCAAAGATGTTTATTAAGTAACTTTTATTTTATATGTGCAAGATTTAATTCTCGTAAATTTCTTATCTTCTTCTTTCCTTAGCTGAAGCCTCCCGTAATATTTAAAATTAATAAAAGGTATGAGTATATATGTAAAAGTGCAAAACAAATTCAACCAAAATATTAAAATGATAAAACTAACAAAATTAAAAAAGAAAAAAAAACTTAAGCGGGGCGGGGCAGGTGGACACGGGTATTGATGCGGGGTGGATGAATGCGGGTGCAAATGTTATGCAGCGCGGCGCGGTGCGGATTGAAATTTTGCGAGTTAAGATACCCGCACCGTTTGTCATCCCGATAATCACCATGCTTCAAAGTCACTCTACTATATACTCACATGTGCTTAATGATTGGAGATTCGTGATCCACCAACCGAGTAATCCACCGGTGGTGCACACTTACAGGGAGCAAAACACTAAAAATGCAAATCCACCTCCGTTTGTTTTGGATAATGTCAATGCTGACAAGCATTCCGGTCGGAGTTCTAGTTATAGTTCTCATAGTCAAATAGAACGGCATACTATAACTAGAACTGTTAGTTCCTTTGGCTCCATGTAACTCTTCTTTAAATAATATAAGGTAGTCTTTTAAACTCCAAAAAAAAAAAAAGATTGCTAAAAGTTAGGTCGTTACTACCTTCTAGAGGAAGAGGAAGACATAAGTATTATGTTGTGGAGATCCTTTATTTATTTATTACTTTATAAAGACACACTTGTTCTAGAGTTGCTCCATGTACTAAGAATCCAAGTCTTGGGATATTCTATTAGTATACGTTTGAAAAGGATTTTTTCTGGATTGTTGGATTTAATTATGTTGCTAACCTTAAAAAAGATACTGTTACTATATGATTTGCTTATTTTATAGTGATTTTGATGTTTAGTCTTAGTCTAATTTTCTTGGTTCTTGAATTATTTTTATTGTCATTTACTATCATCAATTTTCTCTTCTACTAATCAGGAAAATGTGCCCATTTCAAAATCCAGATTGAGAAATTTCAAATGTGACTACAAACTAATGTACTGCAGTTTATTTTTGGCTCTTTTATTTTATTTTGCTTTGTTGTCCAAGCTATCTAGATGTGTATAGCATAATCAAAATACAAATCCTCATAGTCAAAACTTAAAAAGACAGTCTTCTAGATGAAAGCAAATAAGCTCATATTTTTTCATGTCTTACTAGCCGTCAAGAGCATAGAACAAATTGAAGCGCAGAATAAAATAGAGCAACAGCAAAGGTTCTATCTTAAGCAAATCAAGCTATTCCTTATAGTGCTCCCTTTTCTCATGCAAATTGAAGCGCAGAACAAAATATAGCATAGAAAATGTTCATCTTAAGCAAATCAAGCTATTCCTGATAATGCAATCTCCTACTAGAGTACAGAACAGAACAAAATAGAGCACAGTAAATATTCTTTCTCAGCTAATTTTCGTGCAATCTCCTAATGGAGTGCTCACTTTTCTCAGCTATTTCTGACAGTAAAAGCTCTTACATTCAACTTAATTAAGCTTACAAACAGAACTTGGATGTGTATGGACATGGAAGTATGAAGGATCAATATCTTTGTAAGCACTTATCACAAAAGAGAAAATTAAAAGAGGCACTACATCATATCAGAAGAAGAAATATGAGAACCCAACAAAGAACTGAGTACAATCAGCAGCAACAACAATCTTTACTCACCACAAGTACTATTCTTGATATGTCTACAGCCATCAAGACTAATATGGAGTTTAAGCAAGACTCATAGATGTTGTCTAAGAAGGAAAATCATATTTCTTACAGTTAGTTTCCTCCTAGGCAATCAATTATTAACATCAAGAAACTGAACAAGTCTTTTCCACTACCAGTCAATTATCTATCCAGACCCAAAACTCCAAGGTGATGAAGCTAGAACAACCAGAGCAAGAACTGGCAAAGAAGCCACGGAAGATGGATTGAGGAAACAATTACACCAAGTAACCTACTCAAAGTACACTCTGAACCATTTGTATGCCTTCCGCAGCCACCTAACCATAGCCCACTCACCAGCAACCGCAAACCCATAGCCATCTGCTATGCTCATAATAGCAGCCTGCTCTTTCTGACAGAGAAAAGAAGGAACAACAATTCTTCTAGTGAGTTTTTCTTCCTCAGCTGCTAGCCTTGCCAAATAGTACATCTCCTCCTGAGATGTCACTAAGTAGCAAGGAAAACCAAGCAGCTCTTGCCTTATCCGGGCCTGATTCCGCAGCGCTTTCCTGTACCTATTTTCTTCTGCTTGAGCATTGCCAAGGGCAGTATTCCATTTCTTCAGCAGTAACACAGTGTTCATCCTGCACACATTTGAAAATAGACTGTTAAGGGTCAAACAAGGAAGGAGGGACAAATCTGAACAAAAGTATACTAAAGGGGACTAATGTGTAACATCAAAAATATTAACTCTAAAAGTATAGGGACCAAAGTGTTAGCTCCACAACTCTGATATAATTTCCATTTGTTATTACTCCAATTGCGCAGATGCACCCTTTACAGCTGAACGTACAGCTCCCCATAAACACAACAATTTCCTTTCTAGCATGACCAAATCCAGCTCGTATCAGATCCCTTTCCATCAAACCACCCTTGTCCTCAAGGGTGTTAAATATAAAATGAGGATCACTCTTCCACCAGGATCAAACAAAATTTAGGAATAGACATCATACGAAAACAATTCTTGTCTTGGGCCTTCAAATGCTCCAGGATCAAAAATAAACCCTTGTATGTAGCAGCAGCCCCACAAGAGACAACCCCAATTCACTTACAGCCTTAACTGTTCCTTTAGCAAGCATTGACTCACTACTTTCTTTAACTATGTACTGCTTCTCAACTACAGGTAGTATGACTTCAAGTGGTACCTTAACACTGTTGTGTAGTAAAAGCATCCCTGATGAAAATAAGTTAAATTTGGCTGGAAGCTCACATTTCTTTGTTTGAATCTGCTGAACTAAAACTGAAGAAGACAGTGATAGAGTGGCGCCCATCATTGTGTCTTTTAAAATGCTTTCATATTGTTGAATGAAGAACTGCAAACTGAAGCATATTACTCCACACACATCAAGCTCTTGACTCGCCACTTTGCAATTTATTTCCCCCACATCCTTGGAGTTTTTACTCGCGTCCATACGGTAGTTGCAAACTAAGGCTAGCAAAGAACACAATGAGTAAACAATCTCATCAATACTTCTTGCAGAAAATATCTTTATCGCACCCTCTAAAATTGCAGATTTATTGGTCACCAATGATTTTCCACAAGAACTCCACAAAACTCTTGAGAACTCCGTATTGAAGAAGTGAGCTGGAATCACTTCACTAGTAGATCTTGTCCCCTTGTAAACACACCAAGAAGCACCTGATGTGCAAGTGCCAGAAACTATAAGAATGAAAATTACACCTGTAGATGAAAGTTCTTGGCAAGATGTCGGTCCTGGTAGCGTCCAAATGCATTGGATTGCTCCAAGTGCTACGCTAAAGGCCTCCAATTTCTTCACAAAAGAATTCCACAAAGGTCTTTCGAACACAACCTCTAAGGAATGAACAGATGGCACTTCCGTAGTAGTTCCTTCGTTGTTGAAAATATTCCAATAAGCACATGATTGCATAGCTACTGTAGCAACATCTCCAACTATTAAGTTACTACCATAAGCAAATTTATGGCTCCCATATCTTGTATTCTGCATTAAAGATTGGCTAACAAAAGCATTCCCACTCGAAAGCCAATAGCCTCTTCCAGGATCAAATGTGAAAACACTTTCCTCATCCAACCTAAAGGCAATAGATTCAGCTACTACCTCTCTGTGATAGTCTTCTCCAACAGCACATGATACCTCAAAAGTAGTCAAGCAAACTGACATAACCTTAATGAGCTCAAGAGCTTCTTCTGAACAACCAGCCCTGCCGAGGAGATAAAACATGAATATGAAAGCCACAATACGTGATGTACCCATCAGCAGAAGTGTAGAAACACTGTCAAGTCGATAAAAGGGTTCATCTATAATGAAAACATGTGGTCTCATAACAAGGTCCCTAACCGTGCTTGGATAATTTTTGTTTCGAACAATGATAATCACGGCAGAGAATCCCGGTGAGCCAAATGGATCGAGAATCAATGCAAGAGCATTAACACCATCAATCAAGAATATATCGGTCCAGCCCCAAAGTGCTGTAACAAAAAATTCTCTTCTCATAACTACATAGTATTGTAAGCCCTTGCACGAACCATCCTTTGAAAAACCAGCCGACAAACATGAATATAATATTTGTTCATGCACATGAATCGAATGAGATTCTGCAAACAATCTCCCCGTCAAGTCACCCTTGTCCTCAAGGGTGATATGTGAAAACGAAGAAATAACTACACCTGGATCGAATGGAATTTCAAAGAAGTCCCCAACAATAAGATTCCTTCCTAACACTGGAAGAAGAGGTTTAGTGGTAAAAGTCAGCAACTCTGCTCCTGAAAGCAATTGCTTCAGGTGTTGGTCAACAACACAAAATTGGCTAAAGTGTGCATCACTACTTTTCCACACCATCGTGCCAAATGAAGGACAAAGTCTCTCAAAGTATTGGCAGGCTAATTTCAACAACCAGATAAGTGAACTCCACACCTTAACTGCACCTACAGGAGTGAGATTCTTTGTACTCTCAGCACCGCAAATGTCGCAAACATCAGTGCTCATAGCACTGTTCAAGCCACTATTTACTGCCCTTTTTGCTGGTGTTTCAACACTTCCTTTGGCGACATCTACAACCAGTTGCACCATTTTCTCCTTTAGCTTTTCAAAAACCAAGTAAGATGCATTCAAGTCCATACAACTGGAGGACGTGGTGACTGTCGCATTACTCACAGAAGAATAGTTTCTAAAATTTATTTTCATAACTGGAGCATACATTTGAGAAACCATCCTAATACAACTTAAGAAAGCGAGATCCAAAGGTCTCAACTCTTTTAAATAATTAAGCAAATCAACAAGGTCAATTTCACAGTCACCACTGCCTAGCATGCTACTGTCAGCTCCCACTCTCAATATATCACCAAGTGCCAAAGCTGTCAAACTACTAGGCAAAAATATCCACCACTCTGCTGTCACCTTAAAAAGAAAATGTACCTTGCCGGACCTGGTAACTGAGTCGGCTACTATACCATTAACAATACTGGTTGCACAAGAGTTTTGAGCTAGTGGAGTTATGATTGACACTGATGTAAGATCAGACTCATTACCATCAGATTTGAGGCTGAAAGCACTATCAGCACTCTCACTCTGCAATTCAAAATCACGATTGGATGGCGGACTCTCCATCACTTTTGATTGCGACTCAAAAGTGGGAACCATTTTTTCCTTCAATGGCCCGACTACCTTAGATATATTCTTCATTGATGAAGCTTTTGTGATTCTAACTGACGACCCAAGAATATTCGACTTCTGATCAATCCTTGCCAATCTTATCTCCTCCAGCAAGAGTTCTGCAATTGCAACATCACTGAAATTAGCTGCAACACAAGCAATTAATTGTGAGTATGTAGCTTGCTCATCATGTGCGAACTATTCTCCTTGCAAATGCTACTACTAAGACCAAAGGCAACCTCCTCATCAATTGGCATTTCATCAAACACCTCGTGCACGTATTCTTGAGTACTCTTTTTGCTATAGACAGTTAGTGGTGAAGCTTTCACATGCAAATCTATTTCTCTCTTCTCTTCTCCAACTCCTTCTAATGGAGTCGTAATTAGTGTCCCGCCTCCACTAGGATCAAATCCTTCTCCCCATTTCTTCTTTGCTGGAAGTGATAGAACTGGTTCACCCAATGTCTCATAGACATCAGCCAACTGATTCCAATTCCCTTCACTTGAAGAGAAGGAGAATTTATATGAATCGATAGGAGGAGCCGTGGTGTAACCATAAGCAACATCAACATTAAAATGGTAGTTTGAATATGGGTTGGAATTGAATCTCTCATGAACGTTTGGGCGGTTGCTGTAAGAACCACTCACACAAACTCCGATTGGCAAAGAATTGGAAGAAGCAACGGAAAACTCCGTATGCCGGTGAAGATCAGAAGGAAAATGCTGGTAACTCATGCATGAATGCTGCCATAGAGTTTTGAAATGGGCAGTGATTGGTGTAAAATTATGGTCATATGCTGGAGGGCTCTGAAATGGTGATGGGACGTCACATTAGTTTGGACGCCGTAAGTGCCACTACTGTAGCTTCTAGTCGAGCAATAATTGGAGGATGTGCTGACGAGCTCCGATGGACGGTACATATAATGAGAAGATTGGAAACTAGTGGCTCGCCAAGGATGATTAAGAATGAAATTGGAAATATGTGGTGAAAAATTGTGGAGCAGCTATGGGCTTGTGGAGGATTTCTCGGGTTCTAGTCTCCAGCCAAACTTCGATTCTCTTCTCCTGTCAAGGAAGGTTGAGAAGCCAAATTTTCACCATCTCCGTTCACCAGCTTCATCTCTTGGACAAATCTCATTAATCTATTGTCCTTTAATCTATTCTCCGTTCTATCATAATTGCAGTTTATATTGGATATTTGGGAATTTAATTTTTCCACCAACTCTCTTACTTTCTCCATATCCGATACCATCTCTCCGAGAGTACCCACAGAGCAAGTTCGATGCTCTGATACCACCGATACAAATACTCAATTTCAGAGGAAGAAGAAGCTAACTAGGGCTAAGCTAAAGCTAAGAAGAGAAGAAACTAACGCAAATAAGATAAAGGTTTTTCATTCATAACCTTCAATTAAAATCCATTACATCGCTATTTATAAAGAAAATGGAAGGAGGAACAAATCTGAACAAAAGTATACTAAAGCAATAAGAGAAGCAATCAATAGAATGTGAAAAAAGAGAGATACTGAAAAAAAATCACATACCTGACTTTGGGGAGAACAGCTTCTTGATCTTGACTATGAAGTTCTAGAAAGCGAGAAAAAAGAAATAGGGGTTTTGGCGTTAGGCGTATTTGCATGCTCTATTCTGGATTTGTTAGAGAAAACAGAGAGAAGGGTGACGTGGCATTTTGAGAGAAATATTAGAGCACCTGGGCTTGGTTGGTGAGTTTTACTGCTTTTCTTTTTATTATTATTTTCCTCAAACATGAAAGTTAGTAAAAAGACTAAAGTATTATAACCAAGTGATTAAATTCAGACTAAATATTACAGTGAAACTTGAAATTAATTATTACACAAACTTAATAAATAGTCAGTTATTCCTATAAATAAAGTATGACAAGAAAGAAATTCAGTTTTTCCATTTCTTTTGAGTAAAAAGTTTCAAGATAACAAAAACAATTAAGAATAAGGGTTATTTTGGATAAAGGAAAGTGCTTTCAAATAAAAATGAGTGATTTTATCACTTACTTTCCTTTATTTGGTTGGTGAGTGAAAAAATAGTGTTTGGTTAGAGAATATAAAATATTTTTAGGAAAATAATTTTTTATACTAATCTTCTCAACCCACCTTCCCCAAAATCCTCATGTTTCATGTACGCCTCCCCCCCCAAACCCGGGACTCTATTTTCTTCAAGAATTTAACTATTCTTTTTAAAATTTACACAAACCCAAAGGAACTAATGCGCTACTTTACTTTTTCACGTAAGAACAACGTTGAAATTATTTGAGCTCGATAACTAAAAAAAATAATTTTTTTAGTTGAAAAAGAAAGTATCCTTTCTACAACATAAAAAGAAATTACTCATTTTATTGAATGAAGAAAATATTTTTTCTACATCATGAAAAAAAGATACTCAGTTTGTTGAAATGAAAGAAAATACTTTTTGTACGTCATGAAAATAAAGTATTTGTTTGTTGAAATGAAAGAAAACACTTTTTATACAACATGAAAAGAAAATACTCATTTTGTTAAAATAAAAAATAATACTTTTTCACGTCATGAAAAGAAAGTATTCATTTTCATGAAAAGAAAATACTCAGATTGTTGACAACAACAAACCCAGTAGTTTTCCACAAGTGGGGTCTGGGAAGGGTAAGATGTACGCAGCCTTACCCTAACCCTGGAAGGACAGAGAGGTTGTTTCCGATAGACACTCGGCTAGAGAACGAATGAAAAAGAAAAAGTAATTGCAACAAGTAGGAATAATAGCAAGATGATCTAAGATCGAATCCAATAATGCAGTCAAACTCTAGGTAGTAATAGCCATCTATGAATAAAAGATATCATACTAATATTAATGCTAGCGAACTAAGTAAGACAAAGAGAAATGCTCGACTACCTACGAACCTTCTACCCTAATCTTTGAGCTCCATACCCCCATGTCTAGGGCCATGTCCTAAGTCAGCTCCAGTTGCGCCATGTCCCGCCTAATAACCTCTCCCCAAAACTTCTTAGGACTATCTCTACCCCTTCTGCTACCCACCGAGGCTATCTGCTCGCACCTTCTCACTGGGGCTTCTATACTTCTCCTCTTAACATGCCTGAACCATCTCAACCTTGCCTCCCGTATCTTATCCTCCACAGGGGCCACTCCCACCTTTTTTCGAATAACTTCATTCCTAATCTTATCCAACCGAGTATGCCTACACATCCACCTCAACATCCTCATCTCAGCTACTTTTAGCTTTTGGGTATGAGAGTTCTTGACCGGCCAACACTCTGCTCCATACAACATAGTCGGTCTAACTACAACCTTGTAGAACTTACCTTTAAGTCTCAATGACACATTCTTATCACACAAGACACTAGAAGAGAGCCTCCACTTCATCTATCCTGCTCCGATACGATGCGTGACATCTTCATCAATCTCCCCCTTATCTTGTATTATAGATCCAAGATATTTGAAACTATCTCTCTTGGGGATGACTTGCGTATCAAGCATCACCTACATATCCCCTTCCTGGGTACTGTTGTTGAACTTGCACTCCATGTATTCCGTCTTGGTCCTGCTCAACTTGAAACCCTTAGACTCTAGGGTCTGCCTCCAAACCTCCAGCCCCTCATTTACACCACCCCGCGTCTCGTCAATTAAAACTATGTCATCAGCAAATAGCATACACCATGGCACCTCACCTTGAATGTGTCTCGGCAATGCGTCCATCGCCAAGGATAATAGGAATGGATTAAAAGTTGATCCCTGGTGCAACCCCATCAGCGGGCATCTTCTTCGTCCTAAAAATGACGTTGAATAGACTAGTGAGCCACTCCAAACCAACCCTACCCGCATTCTTCAAAAATTCCACATGCATTTCATCTGGCTCGGTAGCTCTATCCCTGTGTGTAACGACCCAGCCGGTCGCTTCGAGAGTTATAGTCTCATTTCCCCTATTTTTGCTTCTTTTTGTGTTACTCAGCTATATTATGTTATATCGGGTTAGTCGGTTCGGGTCCGAAGTGGTTTCAGAGTGAATTGAGATACTTAGTCTCTAAAATAGAAGCTTAAGTTGAAAAAGTCAACCGGATATTGACTTATATGTAAATGACCTCGGATTTAAATTTTGATGGTTCTGTTAGATCCGTTAGGTAATTTTGGACTTGGGAACGCGTTCGGAATGAGATTTGGAGGCCCGTGGTAGAATTAGGCTTGAATTGGCGAAAGTTATAATTTTGGCGATTTTGGTCGGTAGTGAAAATTTTGATATCGGGGTCGCAATGAAATTCTGGAAGTTGAAATAGGTTCGTGGTATTATTTTTTACTTGTGTGTCAAATTTGAGGTCATTCGGATGTGGTTTAGCGGGTTTCGACATCGTTGGTAGAATTCGGAAGTTTAGAAGTCCTTAGGCTTGAATCCGAGTGTAATTTGGTGTTTTGATGTTGTTTTGAGTGATTTGATGATTTGTCTAAGTTCGTATGATGTGGTGGGATATGTTGGTATGTTCGGTTGAGGTCCCGAGGGCCTCGGGGTGATTCCGGGTGATTAACGGAACAAGTTTGGAAATTGGAGGAATTGCTGAAGTTGAACTCAACTGTCATAATCGCACACGCTGATATCTCATCGCAGGTGCAAGCCCGCAGAAGCGAGCGGGAGATCGCAGATGCGAGATTGGAGGAGTTGGGCAAAAGGAGCAGCTGCAAGAAGGTTATCGCATCTGCTATCCCGCAGGTGCGAGACTTGGGGCGCAGATGCGGAGAGGAGGAATTTGGCTGGCATCGTAAAAGCGGAGGGAGATGCGCAGGTGCGCTTTTGCAGGCGCGAGATTTGGACGCAGATGCGGAACTTGTGATCTTAAGTGAGTTTTGCACCTGCGATGGAAATTCCGCAGGTGCGGCGCCGCAGAAGCGGAAAAAGGGGCCGCAGGTGCGGTTTCACTGGGCATAATGTATAAATTGAGGACTTCGTGATTTTTGCTCATTTCCACCACTTTTTAACTCGGACTTTGGAGCTTTTGGGGTGATTTTTGAAGGGGATTCAAGGGTTTTCATAGAGGTAAGTTGCTTGAGCTCTAATACTCCTAGCTATGGTGCTTTCCCGTTGATTTCTCATCTAATTAATGGAGTTTTGAAGTGAAAATTGGGGGTTAGGGCTTGAGATTTTGGAGAGTGTAATTTGAGAATTTGAGGGACCAAATGATGTAGGATTTTGATGAATTTCATATGGTTAGACTCGTGAGTGAATGAGCTTTCGGGTTTTGTGACTTTTGTCGAATTTTGAGACGTGGGCCCGAGGGTCGGATATGAGTCGATTTTGGTTTTTGAGTCTAATTTAGTAGTTTTCTTGTGGAATTGATTCCTTTAGCATATATTAATGGTATTGTACTACTTGTGGATAGATTCGGGATGCTCGAAGGCTGATTCGAGAGGCAAAGGCATTGTGGAGTAGAGATTTGCTCGGATTGAGGTAAGTAACGGTTGTAAATCTAGACTTGAGGGTTTGAAACCCTAGATTTTTGTGTCATGTGACTATTTGGAGGTGACGCACATGCTAGGTGGCGGGCGTGTGGGCTTGCACCATTTGGGATTCGTGATTTGGTCCGTCCCGTAGCAACTGTAAAGTTGAACAACCTGTTGTAGCTATATGCTCTTTATGTGCTTTAGAAAGATTTACTGTAAATCATGCTAGATACCATGTCTAGGCCTTATGCCAGTAATGTTTGGACTCTTAGAGGTCATTTCTTGTTGTCCTCTCACTTCTTTAGTTGATATCCCGTACTCAGTCATGTTCATGCATTCTTACATCATAGTTCAGTCTCTGTTATTCTATTTGTTGTATCATGTTAATGTTGTTTGGGCTGATTTCTTTGATTTCTGAGACCCCTGAGAGGCTGGAAAGGTTTATGACTGAGTGAGGTCGAGGGCATGTTTGTGAGGTATTGTACCTTAGCACGTGAGTTGTACGTGCGGATTCTGATATGATATTATAGCACGTGAGTTGCCCATGCAGCATGTAAGTTGTCCGTGCAGATTATAGCGCTTGGGCTGTAGGAGCCCCTCTGGAGTCTGAACACCCCCAGTGAGCGCAGGTACCTACTGAGTGCGAGTGTCGAGTGTCGAGTGCGAGTGTTGAGCGATTATGAGGCATGAGTGATTGTGAGGCTTGAGTGATTGTGAGGTTGGAGTGATTGGGAGGACTGAGTGATGATAACCCGAGGGGCAGTACATGATTTCACCATCCATGCTTATAGTTTCTTTGAGTCCTTGTTTGAGAACTGTTGAAAGATATTTCTGATTGTCTTACTTGAAGCATTTAGCTCGTCACTACTTCTCAGCCTTTATTTACTTATGTTGCTTACTGAGTTGGTGTACTAACGTTACTCCATGCACCTTGTGTGCAGATCCAGGCATTTTTGGTCACGGTAGCGGCTGTTGATATTCTTGTAGCTGATCATTGGAGTTAGCAAGGTAGCTGCCCGGGGATCGCAACCTTGTTTTCTTCTTCTTTATCTTCCCATTAGTTGTATTTTGGATTTTTCCCATACTATGTTAGTCTTGTTGTCGTCGGACCAGTTTTCAGTAGTTGCTCATGACTCAGTGACACCCCGATGTTTGGGGCTTTTCATTTCGCATTTCTATATTTCTTAAGTTCAACCCTTGTTTCTTTTATGAAATTCTGCTATACAAGACGCCTTTTGGCATATCT